AGACAACGTCCACAGGTTGTCCCACATCAACTGAGCAGGTTACTTTGTCATAGAAGGCGTTCAGGTTTGCCAAGCATGATTTGCCCTTGGCGAATCCATGCTGGCTTTTCCCAATCACGTACTTTATCTGACTTGCGACAGCCCCCAGGAGGATTCGCTCCATGACTTTCCCAGGGACTGAAGTAAGACTACCAGGCCTATAATTTACTGAATCCTCCTTTAAGCCCTTCTTGTAGTTTGGGGTGACTTCAGCTTTCTTCCAGTCTTCTGGGACATCCCCAGTTCTCCACAACTTCTCAAAGATTATGGATAGTGGCCTCACAACAACATCAGCCAGCTCTCTTAACACCCTTGGGTGGATAGCATCAGGGCCCATTGATTTGTAGGGATCAAGCCCCTGCAATAGTTTACATACCAACTCTTCCTTCACTGATGGTGGGTCTGTGTTTGCATCTACCTGGGTTGTTGTTCCCAAGGCCTGGGGCCAGCAGTGCTGGTAAATACAGACATGAAGAAAGTGTTGAGAACCTCTGCCTTTTCAGTGCTCTTGGTCACTAAATCACCTCTCCTGTTTAACAGCAGACCATTATTTTCTTTCTGTTCGTGCTTGTTGCTTAGGTACAGTAAAACGCTAATTATTTTTTTTTTTTTTAACAGAAGCCTAACTCTAAATGTCCTGACTTATTGTATTTATTTAGAGATAGCTATGATATTAAAACCAAACAGAACAGACATAAGAGCCAGAAGTAGCACTCTAATAAAAAAAAAAAGGTAAGAATTCCAGAAAACACACACACCAGAGGTTAGATGTAGAAGGTGTTTAAGAACTAATATACATTTTTTTACATATATTAAAAAAACATCTTTGCTTTCTCCAAGAAGTTTTCTGCTCTGTAAAAGTGTCCACTCAACTGCCTGAATTTTTTTACATACCATGAATACTGAAAAATCAATTACTGACCAAAAATTGTGTATATTGATATACACACCTTAAAATAAATATATAAAATAAAAAAGCTCAGTATTTTTACACTTCATATAATGTCCTTAATTTGCATTATATCCTGTACATTTTCAGAGTCTCGCTGCATTATGCACATCAGTTTAGATAGGAAAAACCTTGGCCTTTTCTGGACTTGCTCACATTTGTAACAAGGTGGTTCCTTAGGGAACCAGTTGAGGGAGACTAAGATCATTGTTCCATTTTCCATTAAGACCATTGTTCCATTTTGCATTAAAATTATATCTCAGCCTATAAAAATTAGATTGCATACTCATCAAGAACTTCTAAAATACTGATCCTTCACTCACACTACACTTCCGGCTGTCTGCATCCCAAATATAGAAACAAACACTTGTATTCCCCCATTTACATTATAGTAGCTGCATAAAAAGGAACTTTAAATCTATCTGTAGTCCATGAGTTACTACTGTTCTGCAAGTCCACAGCTGAGGACAGAAAAAGAAGAAAATACTTCATTAGACAGGATATTTTGTTTTTTCTTTTGGACAGCAAAACCTTAGAGCAGCCAGGGGTTTAAAGTGCTGGAATTGGTCCCAATGAAGACAAATTAGAAAGCTGAAAGCAGAGAAGATGGTCTATAAGGCATCTTACAGTGCTCTTGGTCACTAAATCACCTCTCCTGTTTAACAGCAGACCATTATTTTCTTTCTGTTCGTGCTTGTTGCTTAGGTACAGTAAAACGCTAATTATTTTTTTTTTTTTTAACAGAAGCCTAACTCTAAATGTCCTGACTTATTGTATTTATTTAGAGATAGCTATGATATTAAAACCAAACAGAACAGACATAAGAGCCAGAAGTAGCACTCTAATAAAAAAAAAAAGGTAAGAATTCCAGAAAACACACACACCAGAGGTTAGATGTAGAAGGTGTTTAAGAACTAATATACATTTTTTTACATATATTAAAAAAACATCTTTGCTTTCTCCAAGAAGTTTTCTGCTCTGTAAAAGTGTCCACTCAACTGCCTGAATTTTTTTACATACCATGAATACTGAAAAATCAATTACTGACCAAAAATTGTGTATATTGATATACACACCTTAAAATAAATATATAAAATAAAAAAGCTCAGTATTTTTACACTTCATATAATGTCCTTAATTTGCATTATATCCTGTACATTTTCAGAGTCTCGCTGCATTATGCACATCAGTTTAGATAGGAAAAACCTTGGCCTTTTCTGGACTTGCTCACATTTGTAACAAGGTGGTTCCTTAGGGAACCAGTTGAGGGAGACTAAGATCATTGTTCCATTTTCCATTAAGACCATTGTTCCATTTTGCATTAAAATTATATCTCAGCCTATAAAAATTAGATTGCATACTCATCAAGAACTTCTAAAATACTGATCCTTCACTCACACTACACTTCCGGCTGTCTGCATCCCAAATATAGAAACAAACACTTGTATTCCCCCATTTACATTATAGTAGCTGCATAAAAAGGAACTTTAAATCTATCTGTAGTCCATGAGTTACTACTGTTCTGCAAGTCCACAGCTGAGGACAGAAAAAGAAGAAAATACTTCATTAGACAGGATATTTTGTTTTTTCTTTTGGACAGCAAAACCTTAGAGCAGCCAGGGGTTTAAAGTGCTGGAATTGGTCCCAATGAAGACAAATTAGAAAGCTGAAAGCAGAGAAGATGGTCTATAAGGCATCTTAAATTGCATTCAATACATTGCATTGCTTTGTGCAATGTAAGTCTCACTACTGTGGATATGAGGTATGTGTTAATAATATTTGAATACATAGGATTGCGAAGAAACTTTTTTAAAAACAACTGAGCAATGAGGAAATATAAAACAAATGGATCTGTCCACAATGTTTTATTTACAATACTTTCCTCTATTCCTACTCATCTTTCCACTGTACAGATATGATTGAATGGATGAAGTTTCATAATGACAGCTTAATTCAACTCTTAAAGCCACACAAGTTACAAACCCAACTCTCATTCACATTTTAGAGGATAAAGCAACATGATTTTTAAATTTAAGGCATAGCAAGCCAGAAAGTATGGTCCACCTCAGGCTATAACATATGAAATCAGATGAAAAACATCACTAAGTTAATAAAACACATAAAACCCAAAGTTACTAACAAGGCAGCAATTCATTCAGAAAAAGTCCACTTCAATAGCTTGATACTATTATGCTGAGCTTATTCCATCAAGGAAAATATTTAGTGGCGTTTTGTTTGTTTTTAAATCTAAAGCATGCTGAACTTTCTAAATAAAGCTACTGCAATCAGATGTGGGAAATCAATAGTTGATTTGACCTCTTTAAGAGCACTACGCTTCCCATCTTCCCCAGCTATCTCCAGCAGGGACAGCCTGGGAAATGGTTTCGTATTCGTCAGTCCAAAAAGTACAGTTCAGACAGTGGAAACGGGCTCCATTGCATCAAATCACAGATGTATTTCATCCTGATTTTCCACTAAGATGAGTCTTTTGCAAGCAAAGACAAGCTTGATCTGCCTGTGTTGCACATGAGCCCATTCAATTGGAGGCCCCATTGCGTCATTTAGCTTCTTCACGTCCAAGCTTGTAAGATCTCCTCCGAGCTTAACACACCTCCTTAGCTTTCAGTACAGGGCAGATTTTCATCTGGTGATGTTGAAACACGGGCAGGGCTAGCTTGCTTTTGTCTGCAAAAAGCTGGGTAAATACATTATTAGCTCAGCTTTGTCTCAAAGCCCATCCAAAATTTGGTGGTCTTGTCACCATATGGATGGTTCAAAGCAGTAAGCACAAACCTGTTCGCCAAGGGTTCAAGAGATATCAACAACATGCTTGATAATTGGCCACAAAACAGACTGCAAGTACCAGTGATTTTGATCAAAGCCAACCTGAACTGGATCTAGTTCAATGACTTAAGACAGAATGAAATGAGTTTAAATTGCACTCACTTAAAACTAGGTATTTTAGATAAAAATCAGAACGGAGAAGTCATACCAAGCTTTCATTGTCAAGGCTACTGCCCAAAATGTTTAATGCTATTTTATTCTAAAAGTGAAATACATCACAACTGTTTGCGTATTATTTTTTATACTGATAACAGTAGGAAACTCTTATTTGTTAAGTCATTGAATTAATTGTTACTGCCTTTTCTGGATCTTAAAAAAAAAAAAAGAAAGAAAGAAAAAAGTTTTTGTTTGCTCTGTTAACTCCTGAAGTGTCCAATTCAGTAAAAACTCAATTTTCCACTCTGCAGAAATCACTCCCAAACACTGGGTTTAGGCCTTTAAAGATCAAAAAGACTGACAAGGCTTTTAAAGAGCCTCCCATTTTTTTTAACATTCTCTTACTTTTCATTCTAGTTAAAAACATACCTAATATGACAAATTATTGTATACCCAAAGTGCCTGGAGCACACATATTCAACTTCAGGTAGTCATGTCTGTCGCACACAAGCAAGAAATAGCAGCTTATGAATAAGGACAGACACTTCATTTGTCTTTAGGAATTCACCTCTGAAGTATGTTTATTCACTGACATACCAGATACAGAAGAACTGAGCTGGTATTTTACCTAAAATTGGTTAAGAGTTTATTAAACTTAGTCACCCATATAAAAATCCATATATTCATGGAACTTTTACTTCCTTTACCTGCCTTAGGAAAAAATAAACAAGCGAACAAAAAACACTCAAGACAAACATATCTATTCCCATTCTGGTTGTTACCCGAGTCATTTGGGAAAAAAGTCTTCACAGTGTCTCAAAAAGAGAGATCCCATTATTTTAATTATCTTCATCTAAAGAAAAATAAAATAGTGTAATGTCCAAGATGTGTGTGGGCTAAAACTCCATGGCAACACCTTGCTTCTATAACACCCGCTTCCTCAGACTGTTACTTATGCAGCTTTGTATGTCTTTAACAGGATGATAAATGCTTTTTAAGCAGTAGGCAGGACTTCAAGAAGCCTGGGTTCTTTAAGACTCACCAAAATAAATAAGAACCCAGTCCTACCTACCTTAGATATTTCTGGCTCCACTTGTTGTCTCTTGGGTGTCTCTTTTGACTCAGATCCTTTTGGAGTACTAGTGTTCTTAACAGAGGGGGATTCAACTCCTTCACCTTCAAGTTGCAGATTAATACCTTCTGTGGGGACAGGGTGATCAATACCATTTGGATTCAGATTGCAATGGATAGCTGGGAAAAAAAAAACACAAGAAAACACTGCTTAGAAAAGAAGAACCCAGTGTTAGAAACTTTTATCACAAAGTACTAAGAAGTGCCACATGGTAACCAGAGCTACGTCAGATCACAGCAAAAGAACTGCCTGTACCTTGACATGGATTCAGGGTGAGATATTTGAGAAAGAAAATGAGAGGCAATGCAGCACTCTATAAGGCTATTTAGTGCAGGCTACTGAGTTGAACTGTGCTTTACTGGATTCACTACAGCGTCCAAGACCCTCAACTTACAGCTTTTACTAGGGTAGGACAATGTATTCTTCACTCAGCAATATCTTTTTTTTTTTTCTGTTCTAGGCAAGCAAGTTAAAGTTTTTCTATTACATTTTCGATTACTACAACATTCTAGGCCCTAAACAATGTGGGATAAGTAAGCTGTGCACAGCGAGTCAGCAAGTTGGTCTCTGCACAGAGTAATGACTTACCCAGCTGATTATCTCTCCTTCAGCACTTTGCACCACTGCAAATTACCACCTACACCATCCTAATAAGCAAGAGGGATGTACTCTCTAGGAGCATATAATGAGGTGTGGACTAATAACAGCAGAATAAGGAAAGCAGCTAGAGGAAAAAATAAAACAAATGCAAACCATACCACAGAAATGCACATTTAGAACTACTCCAATAGTTTAATAGTTTTCTGTCCACAATTTCACACTTACAAAGAGAGGAGCCTTAACAACCTTCTTGGCACGTGTAGCGATTTTGAAAGTTGTGGATCCCAAGACAACTTCTCCTTCATGTGACTATCTGATTTTTGCATTCATGCTCCTGGGTAACTGCTACTTTTAGCATTACTCATAATTAAAGGTCCCAACTTCCCCTGTACCCAAAAGGACATCGCTCAGATACTGTGGTGCAATGTTTGACAGACCTGAATAGAAACCCAACACACGATGCAAAATGAAAATAAAAGCTGCCTTTTTACTCTTGCTTGGCTTAGAAGCAAAGGGTGGGGAGCAGGGGAAGGAATCAGAACTGGCAGTTTCTACCAGCTACGGATAAGCCCTTGAAAGTCTCTCAGGGGAAACATGCTCAAGCTGCCGGAGAAGGCAAAGGGTCCTTCAACTACAGCACCTTTTGAAATTCCATTCACCTTAAATCCCAGTGTCTTCATTGAAAACTTTGAGCCTAAATTACAGCAATTCCTTGGTGCCGAATTAAAGCAGAGGCCAAAAAGTTGGCCTTTTCTCCTTGGGGTTTTTAAAAACATCCAAATATTTGTAAAAGGTAAGTGATCTCTCCAAGTACAACAATACCTACATCTGCAAGCTAGGGACTGAAATATCTCTGAAAGGAACATTATGAAGGATAATTCATTAATAACACTGAATGATGGAAAGCAGTAAAGACTTGCAACATGTTTTATTAAAAATTGCTGCCGTTTTATATAGAAGAAGAGAAAAATATGTCATTGGCCCACAGAAAACCAGTAAATGAAACTAAAAATGGGAAGGGAACTAAATTTCAGTCTCACTGTGAGTAGCTATAGGGGATTAGCCCTGGACTTTTACAAGTACGTAAAAGAGACAGAGACCCCTCTCCAAATAGTCAATTCTTTAGCAGACAGCATGAGAGGAAAAGGAGGAGGAATCACTAGACTACATCATGTCCAGAGCTGAGCCCTGCAAAGACCTCCTTCTGGGGAAGGAAACAGAAGAGGTGAACAACACAAAGCTTCTGGAAGTGAGGCAGGTTTTCTACTGGCCACCCCAGGGATCACCACAGGAGACGGACTTCCAGCTAAAAATCCCTTCTTTCTCAAAAGGGATCCTCCACCTGCTTAGGCCTTGCATAGAGAGTTGTGGTTTTGCTTTAAAAGCACTGAAAACTCTCTGACAAGTCTTCTGGGAACTCTTGGGTTTCCCCTTCAGGTACCAGTTTCTCAAAAACAAGAGCATTTTTTTATTTTAAGGGGGGGGGGGGGGAGCACATGAGGAAAATGGGTCTGCAGCAGTCTGTGTGGCTGCTGTCCTTATTTGTCATCTTTCTCTCTCATTTTAGTAGGGCAGGCATCTGCAATTTCTTCCTGATACCTAGAGAGCTGCTACAGAGCCTCATTTCCCAAGCCAGCTCTAAGGAGCTTCTCCCCAAGCCTAGCTCCAGCTCTTCTTGCAAGTTTCTATCTTCCCTGGTTCAAACCAATTCTGTAGGTTGGCTTAAGGCAATGTAAAACCAAATCCCATCATTATGGCATTGCCTCTCACTGGTGAGGAGCGGAAAAATAGATGACGCTCTGCAAGTCAGTCCTTTGCTCCTACTGGTCTTCCCAGCCACACCACTGAGTCAATCCAAAACGTAAATACTTAAACTTTAATAACATTAGTAGAGGCATTTCCTAACTTTTGAGTCCTTTATTTCTAGGTACACTCCATAGTTACCCCTTCCTGGGTTTTGCTTTTGTCATGGCTGCGAGACTACAATGGAACTGAACTTGAACATAGCTGCTGCTTGATTTTTCCTTTGCAGGACCTCGTTCTGTGTCAGAGAAAACGCAAAATCTTTTTTACTTCTGCAGTGAAGCTAACAGGCTTCACCTGCTCTGGCTGTATGGCCATTATGGGGAAGTATCCAGAACCTGCCAAGCTGTTATGATGAACAGGGGCTTTAGGGCTTTTAGGCTCCCATGGGAGGTTTTCAAGAGATATTATTTTGTGGTTTATATTTACATCAGTGTGTCTTAAGACACCAAAAAATTCTCTCTGTCCCCTCGTTCATATCCACCTATCGTTATCTGTCTCCTCTAGATCATATTTACCTACCTGAAAGAAGCAAGTAATAACTAATGACTACTTTGCTTATCCATCACACCACAAAAAAGGTGGATGCTATGCACCAAGACAGACTTTTTTGCACCCTAATGTGGATGGAAACTGTTCTGTTAGTAGCCAAACTAATTCCCTCCTTCACAAAAAAATGGGAGATATCCTAACAAACCTGTAAAAGTACTCCCAGCACACCCCTGCTCCAGCAAGGGCTGGATAGTAGTGAAAGATGCTTGGAATGGAATGCAGCCCATAAAAATCCTTCCAACTGCCTTCTTCAAGGATCTTACCTAGCTAAACAGGAAGACTCCTGCATACACCTTTGAAACGCTACCACACCTGAGCAGCAGCCAGAAACAGGCAGGTTTGGGCCCTCAGCACCCTTCCAGCACTCGCTAGAGAGAAATCACAAAGCACAGTGGGACTTAACACTGCCTGGAAGAACACTGCCAGCAGCAAGCGTCCTGTGGAGTGCGACTCCTCCCTTCCCAGTGCCCCCAAACAATACGGATTAAGGAGGTGGCTGATAGGGGATGGACAAGGAAAGCCTTCTGGGTTACAGCATCGGTTTACCATGCATTACAGGGAGCAAATGATCCAGATTTCCAATAACATGGTAGCATAAGCATCACCTGGATGGCTTAAAACAGAAAGAAATCACATGGCAAGATGCTGCTTGACTCTTAGCCCATCATTCTTTCAGAAGTAATGAACGTTAGTGCTGTTTCAGCAATGCTTTATATCCTGAAGGAGCCCAATATAAAAGAGAGAAAAAATTGGAGAGGCTGCTAGCAATTACAGAAATGCCCATTACCTTTTCATTGAAAAGACGTGACTGGTTAAAAGAAACACAGCCTGTCTCAGGAAAGACTTTTCCAAAGTTGGTGATATTGGGAGGTAGAGGGGACAACTTTTTTTATTTCCTAGGTAGAGAGAGAAGGAAAGAGTTCATCTCTCTCCTTCACCCTCATCACAGTCTTGGCTTACCACACAGCTGGACTGAATCTGTTCCTTAAAGAAGACACACTGAGAACAAGAACCACAGCATGGGGAGAAGGCAGACTGAAGGGCAGGAGGAAAAAAAGCAGAGGCGAGGCACTTGGCAAAGCTAATCTCTCTTTGTCATCAGCCATCTTCAGGTAGCCAGCTCTACTGTTTTCCCCTAGCGCTGCTTCCAACTCTCAGCTACACAGAGAAGAAAGAAGGCAGGAATATTTGCTTGCATGGGTCTGTTATTTTCTGTTACCACACAGAAATAGGTATTTCCATCTCTGTGGCAGACATAGGTGGAGCTCTTGCCTCCTTTTAAATGTCAATACAAACCATAATTGCTCCCTTTCAAGATTTGTTAAAAGCAGGGAAA